CTACAAATATGAGGCAGTCTCCTTTTAGGATTACAGCCTTGGAAACCCCACAGGGCAGTGCTCTTCTGTCCTAGAGCATTGCTAGGAGATAGAATCAACTTGAAATCAATGGATATTCTATTGATCTGGAATTTATTCAGATAGAAGAGGTCATTTAACTTAGTATTTACACCCAAAGACTTAACTACTGCTCCAATAATGCTTTTCTTTAGGAGTAATAGAAGTTTCCCCACGACACCTTCTATGTGAAGTTACCCCCAACCCATGATGACCCTATGCACAATGGAACAAAATACTGTCCAGTTTTGTTTTATCCCCACAATCGGTTTTATGGATTGGACAGGGTTCCATTGTGATCCAAAGAGTTTTCATCAACTGATTTCATAAGCAGGCCTCCAGATATTTCTTCCTAGTCTGTCTTAGTTCAGAAGCTGCAAGGAAACATGCACAATGTCATAGCAATGCTCAAGTCATCTCTGACAGGCAGGTAGTAGTTGTGCATGAGGTATGTTGGCCAGAAATTGACCTTGGATCTCCTGTAAGGGAGGTGAGAAATACAACACCCAATCAAAGCACAGGACCTTCATATACTACATTTATATAATACTGTGGACCCAATGTAGCAGGTATATTTTCTTTTTTTCATCCTGCCTAACTGAGGCCTAAAAGACAAAGATTATAAACAATCAACAACAGGTCACGTCAGAAATTCAAGCTCCTCTCCTACCCATCAACTCTGCAGTCTACAGGTTCATGATGCCCCTGGCTTGACGCTCAACTCTCACAAGCAGATAGACCCACATATTCTTACCTGTAACTGGAAGAAATACTGGGATGTTTTTGGGTCCTTTGGCAGTTCCTGCAAACAAAGATAGTTGTCGTTGTTGTTTTGTGCTGTCGAGTCATTTGAGACTCATAGTGACCCTATGTACAACAGCTCTAAACTGTGCTCTGTCCTGTGCCAATCTCATTGTCTCCAACACACTCATCCTGGTTGTCCCAGTCACCAAATCAATCCACCTCCTAGAGGGTCTTCCCTTCCTGCTCTGTCC